AGGCTGGGAGTCTCTCCCTGCGCCTCAACCCCCACAGGTATTTTCAATCAGTGTTTTGAGGCTTTATTTCCCGGCGCTAGGACCCTCAGTTGCGTGATCTGTCTTGCTGCCCAGTTATCTGCTCACGAAAGTGGGACCTCTGCCCGGTCAGCCAGTCACCTTGCGCTCTGTGCCCCACTTCTCAATCGCTGCCTCGCTGGGTCTGCCCCTTGCCCTCCCATGCCCAGGATTTGCCAGCGGCCACCTGGGCACCCAGGGTCTGCCTGGTGCCGTCTTGCGCGCCCAGGGTGCCTTGCATGCCCGTTGTCACCACTTCCTGTGCTGCAACCCCTCTCTGCTAGACCACCTGACTCCTGACTCTGCTTGTCTCTGCCCTGCTTACTGGTCTGGATGAATGTGTCTATTTTAACTCCTTGGTTGTCAGACTTTCATACAGTTCCATTTTTCTCAGTTTTGGTTGTTATTTTGTTTCTAAATTGTTATTGTCTTTATTTTGGTTGTTCCAGGAGGTACAGTGTGTCTACCTATGCCTCCATCTTGGTTGGAAGTAGTCTTCTTACTATAATGATATTTACCATGTGTTTGGCTGGTTAAGTTGAATCATATGACAAGATAGTTCCACACTTTAGGAATCAAGCAGTTATAAAACAAAGCAAATTTTTGTTACTGGTATTTATGTTTTACCACAATATAAACATAAGATAAACAAGAAAGCAAAGCAAAACCTGAGTGGGGAAGGAAAGATGAATTACAAAGTGGCGTGAAGAAACTTGAGAGTGATGATACGTTCAGTATCTTAATTTTGATGATTTAATGGGTGTATAGATATGTTAAAACTCATTAAATTATACACTTTATATATGTACAGTTTATCATTCATGAATTATACTTCAGTAAAGCTGTACAAATATAATATACATTGCCCCTTCCCCCAACACAGAGAGTGAAGACTTCTGGGAAATTCCTATAAACATGACTTTGGATGTGTAAACATTAAGGAATTTAAATTCCTTGCAATTATGGAAAATAACTGATGAAAATATGAAATGGCATTTACCTCCTTGATTTATTGTGAACCCTTAAAACTTTTGTATCATGAATGAAAAGTAGAAGTACCTTTAAAATACTAGCTATTTATAATGTCAGAAGAGGGAGGAGCAGATATTTAAAAGTTCTTTATTGTTTAAGTTGAAAGGTTACCAGGAAACCTTAGCTAACATATCCAGTAGGAAAGGTCTAAAAATGTGTATATCTGACAAGTCAAGCAGCCTCTGAACCAGTAGCCATGCCAGTTCTATCTGGGGCCTTGTTTACCTTTAAGTAACTGTGACCTTTTTTTATTACACTGCCCAGTCAGGCTGCCCTGACTTAAATGTGAAAAAACACAGGGGGGCCAGGCCGGATGCTCAGTTGGTTAGAGCACAGTCCTGCCAAGGTTACGGATTTGATCCCCAGTCAGGGCACACATACAAGAATCAACCAGCGAATGCATAAGTGGAACAAGAAATTGATGGTGTTTCTCTTTCTCTCTCAAATCAATACATAAAATTAAAACACAAGGGACCCATGCTGTAGAGAGAATGTTCTTGATATAAAGAAACAACAGTAATGAGACAGCTTCTTCTTAAAAATCTTAGGTTTCTGGAAGACAGCACAATATATTGGTAAGAATTTAGGAATTAGGCAAGTCTGAATTTAAATCCTGGCTGTTCTACTTACTAGCTGTGTGATCGTAGATAGGTTGCTTAATTTCTCTGATCCTTAGTTTTCTCATTTGTAAATTGGGGCTAATAATACCTGTATATATGTGTCTTAATTGCCTAGTACAGTACCTGGAACATAGTAACTATTCAAAAAAAATAACCATTATTATGACTGTTTTGTTAACTTCCTTGTAAGACATTTAGATTATTAGACATACTTTTTGGAATATATGTGTCATGTATTCCAAATGAAAGAGTCAGAAAGGAGAGGAAATCAGTTTCCAGAGACCCCAAAGACAATGGAGTGCCTATCTGTGTAGAAATTGTTATAGAGCATTTAAAAAAATTAAATATGTTATTTAAAAGTAAAGCCTATAGAAAAGTTGAAAGGATATCAAAATGAACTCTCTTATGCCCTACCTATATTCATACATTGATAGCATGTACCATATTTGCTTCACATTTCTTATATGTAATATAACATATACATTTTCCTTTTTATTTTTTTCTGATGGTAAATTGCAGAGATTATAACCCATTATCCCTAGATATTTCAGCATTTATCTTCTAAAAACAAGGACAGCCCTGACTGGTGTGGCTTAGTGGACTGAGCACCAGCCTGCGAACCAAAAGGTTGCTGGTTTGATTCCTGGGCAGGGTACGTGCCTGGGTTGTGCGCTGGGTCTCCATTTGGGGGCATGTGAGGGGAACTGATCTATGTATCTCTTGCACATCAGTGTTTCTCTCCCTGTCTTTCTCTCTCTCTTCCTTTGTCGCTAAAAATGAATAAAAATCTTTAAAACAAGGACAGTTTTTTACATAACATGCTATAAAATCAAATCTGGGAAGTTTAATGTTGATTCCTAATATTACCTGCTACATAGTTTATATTCAAATTTTATGGATTGTCTAATAATTATTCTTTATAACAATTTTCCCCCAATGTAGAATTTTTTATTACATTTAGTTTTCATTTCTTTGGTTTCTTAACATATAACAGCCCCTCAGCCTTTTGTTGTTTTTCATGATTGGTGTTTTTTGAAGAATACAGGCTTGTTTTGTAGACGGTCCTTTAATTAAGGTCTGTCTGCTTATTCCTCATATATCCATACAGATTATGCATTGTTGGTATATCATATATCCTCAGTGCTTCACATGAGGCATTATTGGTGATGTTAATTAACTTTGATCACTTAGCTAAGAGATTTTTTTCAAGTGTTACAAAGGTAACATTTTCCCTTTGTAATTAGCAAGTAATCTATGGGGAGGTACTTTGAAACTGTGTAAATATCCTGTACCTCAACAAACTTTTTCCAGTGGTTTTACATTTCTAAAGAACTTTTTTACATAAACATGTGGTTTTGTTACCTTGATTGAAGACTTCTTGAGAAAATAGTTTTTACTTTAAAGATTGTTATAGTACCTTGTACACAGTAAGTACTGTTTTTTTTAATTTTTTAAAAAGATTTTATTTATTTATTTTTAGAGAGAGAGGAAGGGAGAAATAGAGAAACATCAATGTGTGGTTGCCTCTGGCATGCCTCCAAGTGGGGACCTGGCCCACAACCCAGGCATGTGCCCTGCCCGGGAATTGAACTGGTGACCCCTTGGTTTGCAGGCTGGCACTCAGTCCAGTGGCACTCAGTACTGAGCCACATCAGCTAGGGCACAGTAAGTACTATTGATTACCTGATTTTGAGCTGTCTGTCACCAGATTGCTGATTATATTTGTCCAATGGATTTTGTCTGCTTATCCTGAGAAGAACTTAGTGGATACTTAGAGAAGTCTTGTCATATGCAAGTGAGAAATGCTCTCTAAATGGACTGATTAGGCATTCTTCTCAGGCCTCTCTGACAATGAGATAGGAATAGTAATACACACCTGGATATTTTGAAATAATAATAAGAAGAAGGAGGAGGAAAGCTCTGATCTTCATTACTGGGAAGACTTGTAAAAGTATAGTATTCTTCTTCCATTTTAATTTGCATTTGTGATGAAAGGGAGTTTCTGGGTGGTGTTCATCTTTCACTTTAGACTTATATATTTTTTTCTTTGTCAGCCTAATACTTAGGGCATTAGGGTGTCACCTTCAGTCTCTAAGAATTGGGTCAGGTTTCTTATAGATCTTGTCACATTGCCACTTGGAATTTAACTAACTGGAGGAAAGAAAGTAAGGCTGAATTGAATGCTTTGTTCAGGTGAGAAGGGCTTACTAGAGTCAGTGAGGCAGAGTAGAACGTCCTCATTCTGTCTGGCAGCTGTTTCCCACCTCTGCCCTGAGGATCTTTCTTCCGTCTTTCACCCACCCTACCGTATCTTGGGCAGAGATGGCAGCTGATCACTAAAATTCCTCTGTCCCCGATTTCTGGCTGATGCCTAACATTTCATCAATACCAAGAAATTAAGTTGCTTGTATAAATTGTTACCCAAGAAAAATGCAGATATCCTTGCTGGGGATTGGCAAGGTAGCACAAGTCAACATCTAAACGTGAAATATCAAACATTCAGACCTTTTATAGGATAGCTAGTTGGTAAAAGCTCTCTGCTAAATGAGACAGTGATAAATAAGATTTTTTCCTGGGGGAAGGAGAAGGCTGGGTGGGATTTTAATAGTTGGGGACTCTGAACAAATAAATATAAGGGGATTAAGACTCTGAAATTCAGAGTAAGGGGAACTGTGTATTGAAGAAAGAAAAGGAAGGGCATTTAAAAGATGCAGTACATTTACACTACAATTTCTATGGATCCTTAGTGGAGTGGTCTCTGAAATCTACAGAGCAGTTAGAGTTAAGAAATCCATGCCTTGTTAAACCAGGAATGGTGATGACCATTCCTTTAAAAAAGGCCCCTTTCCCCATCCGCACGGAAGACATACCTTTTACATTTCCTTTCGCTGATCATACCTCCAGATATCCCAGGAATGATATAAAGGGTAATGTTAAAGTCTGTATAACTAACTTTCTCAGCCAAGTTCTTTCAGTCTTTTGAATGTAATCAGAATATGAAATTAGTAGTTAGTATTCAGGCTTCATTGGTCAGGAGGAATAATTTCCAGGTCAGGTGATTAGTTGTGGCCATTGCTCCACAGAGAGGTATTTCAGAGTTTCTACAGGATCCTGTGTTTGGTGAAGCTTTATTTTTTCCAGATGCAGTTGGATCTTCTTTGCGAAATGTGTGCTATGGGATTGATCTTTTGCTGAGTATATCTGTGTTAACATCTCTGAAATACTGGTGACAGACTTTTTTCTACCTCAATGAGAAAAAATTCTTTTTCACTTTGTATGACCGGTTAAAAGAAGATGGATGCACAGAGTTCAGCCAAAGTCAACACAAGGAAGAGGAGGAAAGAGGTACCTGGACCCAATGGGGCAACAGAGGAAGATGGGATTCCTTCTAAAATGCCACGCTGTGCAGTTGTAAGTAAGGAAGAGATTTCTGTGTTGTGCATATAACCCAGGGGGAGGGTAGAAAACTGATACAGCATTACATGCCTTCTTAAATAATGGAGGGAATGAACAGTAAGTGTGGATAGTAAGTATTTTCACAGTAGTTGTAAATCTTATGCTTTCTTACTAGATTATAACTCAGCTTTCCATTGAAATTGGAAAAAGAATGTTAGGAAAGTTTGGAGATTGTGTTATATATTAGGCTAAAGATCAAAATCAAACTAATAGAGAAATTGGGGCTCTAGGCAGTGATCTGATCTTGGTATCATCTCCTGGTGTTTAGTTTTCTGTCTTACTGTCTTTTCTTCCATATCACTTACCACTCTATTACTGCTTATATCTTAGATGAGAACTGTTTTCTATTACTGCTTACCTTATGGTCCTTTATCTCTGGAACATTATCTTTGTGTTTCTATTGCCAAGCCTTCAGTGAAATACCCCATCCCAAACTGCTCATCCTGCCTCAGGTTTATATCCTTGCTAAATTTTCCTCCCTCAAAAACATGTTAAAGAACACACAATTGAAGTGATTATTGATATACAATATTATAAAATCGATGTTTCAAAATCCCGATGACAAAAATGCATGTTTCTGTATTTTCTTAACCTATAATAGCCATTAGTCAGTGATCAAACTGCACTTTCCATTGGTTCATTCTGGAGCTTCATAGCCCAGATGGAAAAACATTTCTACTCTGACCCAGTTAACAGTTGTACCAAACCAATACTTGTCTTGAGCAATAAAAGCAACTGGACTTCACAGATAGGAAGCATATGTTCCAGGCCTGGTATTGATGATATTCGTGGGGCAAGTGTATTCCTTTCCTATTGCTGCTGTAACAAGTTACTGCAAGTTCAGTGGAGTAAAACAATACAGATACACCTTTCAGTTCTGGAGGGCAGAAGACTGAAATGGATCTGAGGGAGCTAAAGTCAAAGTGTTGGTGGGGACGGAAGTTCCAGGGGAGAATCAGTTTCCCTGCCTTTCTTGCTTTATCACTCTGCTCATGGTGCCATCCAGCAGTCCTGGCACCTTGACCACAGTTTTGTCATCACATCTCTTGATTCTGACTCTCCTTTCTCCCGTATTCACTTATCATGACCCTTGTGATTATACTGGACATGCCTGGATAATCCAGGATAATCTCCCTGCCTAAAAGTCCTTTAATTTAATCATATCTTCAAAGCTCCTTTTGCCATGGAAAGTATAGTTATATGTTATAGAGATTTAGGTGTAAACAGATACCATTATTCTGCATACAGCAGAAGTAAACTCAGAAAATGACTCAGCAGTCAACAAAGCAGTGCATTGTTGATTTCTGAATGTTTCTTAGACAGTTTTGGTTAAGGAGATGGTGGTAGACACCAATTCAACAACCTCACTTGGAGTAGGAACAAATTATGACCAAGTAGGTGGGTACTCTCAGCCAGTTGCCATAGCCAGGAATAGAGCAAAGAAGGCCCATCTTAGTGGAACGGACTCTGAGAAGACTTGAATTTTTGGTCCTTAGAATATGAGGAATCTCAGTTCTTTAAATTACTTTACATCATATATTCAAGTCACAAATCAGCTGAGTGACTTTTGTTACCTATTCCGCATTCTTCTCTGGCACATGCTGGCTATTTAGAATGGGCTAATGGTTAAAGATTCACTCACCCAACTGGCTAGACCGATGCTAATGAGGAGTATGCATTAAATAAGCTTGTTTGTCATCTTCATCATACACCTGTACTTTCTGTCTCTGAACCCCTTTCAATTCTGTAGCAAAAGCAAGCAAGATATTTTTTAAGTGACAGCTTTATTGAGATCATATAATCCACCAATTTAAACTGTACAATTCAGTGGTTTTTACTATATTCACAGAGTTGTGTGACCATCCCCACAACTAATTTTATTTTATTATTTTTTAAAGATTTTATTTATTTATTCTTAGAAAGAGGGGAAAGGAGAGAGAAAGAGAGGGACAGAAACTTCAATGTGTGGTTGTCCCTTGCGCACCCCCTACTGGGGATCTGGCCTGGAACCCAGGCATGTGCCCTGACCGGGAATTGAACCAGGGACACTTTGGTTCTCAGGCTGGCACTCAAACCACTGAGCCACACCAGCCAGGGCCCCACAACTAATTTTAGAATACTTTTATCACTACAAAAAGAGGCTCCATACTCATTAGCAATCATTCCCCATTTCCTTCCAAGCTCCCCAGCCCCTGGAAACCATTACTTTCTGGCACTATAGATTTTTCTATTCTACAAGTGGCATCATACACTATTACATACAAATGGCATCATATAGTATGTGGTCTTTTGTGGCTAGCTTCTTTCACGGGGCATGTTTTCAAGATTCATTAATGTTGTAGCATGTATCAGTACTTGATTTCTATTTATTGGCTAATAGCATGCCATCAAATATTACATACCAATTTTGATTTATCCAGTTATTAGCTAACATTTGGATTGAGCAGACAAGATGTTATCACACATTTATAATGTGCCAGCATGGCAGTAGGTGACTAGGAGTGTAAAGATAAGCAAGGTCTTCCCTCTGAGAGATGTGAGCATAATGTAGAGTTCCAAGGCTCAAAGTTCATTAGCTTTAGAAAAGTGCTTTCTTTGCAAGTGGGGAAAGGAATGGGAAGGATCACCAAGTATTAGGTAGTTGAGTCGATGGGTCATAAGAGAGCGAAAGAGTTGAGGAAAAATTAAGGGATAACTTTTATGGCTAGTTTTTTAATAACTATAAAGAATTTACTTATACAGAGATTTCTAAAAGTATAATCAAGTTCTGCTATGGAGATCTCATAATCTCATTTCAGTCAATGTATATTATTGAGAACTTTTGTCTGCCAGTTGCTAGAATTAGAGATACAAAAATGCAAAGATGACCTTGACCTTAAGAAGTTCACAGAAAAATAGGAGGTACAGACATAATTAAGATACAATATGAAAAAGGACAAATAGAAGGTTGGAGGAATTTTGACTGAGGAGTGCAGACAGTTTTTGATAAGCTTCATTGAGGAGATTATTTTCGACTTGAACTTTGAAGGATAAGTAGGAATTCAAGAAATAGACAAGAGCTTTCCACACCTGTTACCTCTCAGGTTCCTCATGTGAGGCCTCTCAGCCACCTCTGAGATGTGCTACTTTGCCTCCTACTTGCTGGCCACCCTCTGGGGCAACGCCTCCCCAACACCAAGGATATCAAGAAGAACCTAAGCAGTGTGAGCATAAAGAAAACAGCATAGGGAATATAGTTAATAATATTGTAATAACTATGTGTTTTTGCCAGGTGGGTACTGGAAATATTGTGGGGAACACTTTGTAAAGTATATTATTACCTAACCACTATGCTGTACATCTGAAACTAATACAACATAATAATATTGAATATAAACTATAATTGAAAAAGAAAATTATGAAATAAAAATATAGTATGTTGATACTATATAAAAATATAGTAATAAAAATATAACTGTTGATAGATAATATATTTATTGCCATTTTATTATTCATATTTTGGGGTTTTTTTTCCCTTTTTCCTAAAGAAGACTCTTTAACATTTCTCGTAATACTGGTTTGGTGGTGATGAATTCCTTCAGCTTTTTCTTCTCTGGGAAGTGCTTTTTCTTTGGGAAGTGCTTTTTCTATCCTTCAATTCTAAATGACAGCTTTTCTGGGTAATCTTGGTTGTAGGTTCTTGCTTTTTATCACTTTGAATATTTTGTGCCAATTCGTTCTGGCCTGCAAAGTTTCTTTTGAGAAATCAGCTGACTGTCTTATGGGAGCTCCTTTCTGGGGAGCTTTCTCTTGGTGCTTTTAGGATTATTTGTCTTTTTTTTTTTTTTTTTTTTAGGGAGAGGGGAAGGGAAGGAGAAAGAGTGGGAGAGAAACATCAATGTATGATTGCTTCTCATGTGTCCTCTCATGTGGGGACCTGGCCTGCAACCCAGGCATTTGCCCCGACTGGGAATTGAACCATCGACCCTTTGCTTCACAGGCCTGTGCTCAATCCACTGAGCTACACCAGCCAGGGCAGATTATTTGTATTTAACCTTTGCCATTTTAATTATGATGTGTCTTGGTGAAGGCCCATTTGGGTTCATCTTACTTGGGTCTCTCTCTGCTTCCTGGACTTGTATGTCTTTTTCCTTCACCAGGTTAAGGATATTTTCAGTCATTATTTCTTCGAATAGGGTCTTAGTCCCTTGTTCTCTCTCTCTTCTCCATCTGGTATCCCTATGATATAAATGCTGTTACACTTGATATTGTCCCAAACGTCCCTTAATTCTTGTGTTTTTTTGGGGGGGGTTTTTTGGGGGGTGGGAGTTCTTTTTTCTTTTTGCGGCTCTGATTGGGTGTTTTCTGCTATTGCTGATTCAGTTTTCTGGTTCATCTAACCTGCTGTTGATTCCTTGTAGAGTAGTCTTCATTTTAGTTATTGTATTCTTTATTTCTGACTGGTTCTTTTTTTAAAAAAATATTTTATTTATTCATTTTTAGAGAGAGGGGAAGGGAAGGAGAAAGAGTGGGAGAGAAACATCAATGTGTGGTTGCCTCTTACATGTCCCCTACTGGGGACCTGGCCCGCAACCCAGGCATGTGCCCCGACTGGGAATCGAACCAGCGACCCTTTGCTTCACAGGCCCATGCTCAATCCACTGAGCTACACCAGCCAGGGCTGACTCTTTTTTAATGGTTTTTGTGTTCTTTCTATGTTTACTATCTCTTTAAGTTCTTATTGAGTTCCTCCATTCTTCCCCTGAGTTCCTTGAATATCCTTATAACCATTGTTTTGAACTCAGTATCTGGTAGATTGCTTGCCTCTATTTTATTCTTTTTTCGGGGGTTTCTCTTGTTCTTTCATTTGGGTCATGTTTCTTTGTCTCCCCATTTTGGCTGCTTCTCTGTAATAGTTTCTGTGTATTAGGTATGTAGATCTGTTAGGCCTCCCAGTTTTGGTGGGGTGGCTTTAT